CTTCAAGGACAGGCTGAAACACATGTTCATTCTGTTACCTTTGCCCTTGGTGGTAAGCATATCCTATAGCAGCAGCCCCCAACATTTGGCACCAGGGACTGGTGCTCCTATGAGAATCTAATGCCTGATGATCTGAGGTGGAGTTGAAGCGGTGATACTAGTGCTGGGGAACAGCTGCAAATGCAGATGAAGCTTCGCTCGCTTGCCTGCTACTCATCCCTGCTGTGCAGCCTGGCACCTAACAGGCTACAGACTGGTACCAGTCCATGGCCCTGGGGTTGAGGATCCCTGTCCTATAGAGCCTGGGGCGTTTCACCATGGAGCTAAACACACACACACACACACACCCACACACACACACACACACACACACACACAGACACACACCTGACCCAGGAATCAGAGAAGCTGAAGGAGAAGGCAGAACAATTATAGGCCCAGCTGCTGCTTCATGCTAACAAGGTGAATCAATACATCAGCAATGACATGTGTGTACTATAAAACAGTTCCTTCCTCCTTTGTACCTTCCAAATCTCACAGGAGTCTCCCTGTGACCCATTCTAACTGGAAACACAATAGAAAAAAAATTCTGTGAAATGTATCTCAGGTGACTAAGGTGACATGCTACAAAGCCATTGAACATGTGTGCACAGAGCTTCAGGAACATGAAGCAAAATCTACAGAACTAAAGGGAGAAAGATACAAATCTCCAATCATAGTTAAAAATTTATTTTAACACTTCTTTCTTGGTAATTGATAGCATAAATGTACCGAAAAATCAGTAAGGCTGTAGAAAATTTGAACAATTTTCTGACATAATCATCAATCTGATCTAATTGGCATTTATAGAACATTTTGTCCCTAATCTACAGAATGCACATTCTTTTTTCATGCATATTGAAACATTCACTAAGATAGATCATATGCTGGGTCATAACCATATCTCAATGAATTTCAAAAAATTGAAATCGTATTTTTTTATCATAATGGCACTAAATTAGAAATAAAAAGCAATAAATTATTTAGAAAATCTCCAAATATTTGGAAATCAAGCAGCACCGAGAACAGGGTCAGGAAGAAATCACAAGAAATTAGAAAATATTCCAAATGGAATGATAGTGAAAACATTGCTATGGATTGAATGTTTGTGTCCCCTTGAATTTCACAATGTGATGGTCTTAGCAGGTGTGACTTTTGGGAGGTAACTAGGTCATGAGGGTCAGCCCTCATGAATGGGATTAGTGCCCTTCCAAGAGGAGACATGAGGGCCTGATTTCTCATTCTGCTCTCTGTTATGTGTGGATACAAGAAGACAAACATCTGCAAACCAGAAAGCAGGTTCTCATCAGATATTGGATCTGCTGGCACCTTAATCTTGGACTTCCAAGCCTCCAGAACTATGAGAAATAAAAGTTTGTTTTTTAAGTCACCCAGTCTATGGTATTCTGTTAGAGTAGCCTGAACTAAGACACACAATATATGAATATTTGTGGAATGCAGTTAAAGCAATCTTTAGAGGGAAATTTACAGCTTTAATGCTTTTATTAGAGAAAAACAGAGATATAAAATCAATGACCACCTGATGAAATAAAGAAAGAAGAGGAAATAAAATTCATGTAAGTGAAAGGAAGAAAATAAGAAAGATGAGAGCAGAAATCAATGAAGTAGAAATCAAACATTAAAGAAAACCAACAGAGCCAAAAGTTGGTTTTTGAATAGACTAAGTTGATAACACCTAGCTAAACTGATAAAAAAAAAATCAGACAAAAACACAAATTATAAATAAATGAAGGCAAGGACATCATTGAAGATCATATAGACACCTAACAGGTAACTAAGGAATATTATGACACTATTATACCCATAAGTTTGATAGCTGAAATGGATAGATTCCTTGGGAAAACACCTTGTCAAGACTGATGTAAGATTGCATAGGAAACTAAACTAGCCTTCCATCTATTAAAAAAATTGAATTCATGATTTCAGATTTTCTCATAAAAAGGACTCTAGGCCCCAATATTTTTACTGGTGAATTATATTAAACATTTAAGGAAGAAAAATAGCCATTTCACACAAATCTTTCCAGGAGATATCACTTCATTATGTGTAATGAGCTCAGCATAACTAATTATCAGAGAAGATAAGTGAAAGTTACAGATCAGCATTCCCCATAAATACAGTTACAAAAACTCTGCAACAAAATATTAGTAAATAAATCCCAGCAATATTTAAAAAGATAATACATCATGACAAAGTGTTGGTTCAACATTTGAAACCAATCTATAGAGTTCAACACGTTAACAGAACACAGGAGAGAAGTTTTAATCATCTCAATAAATGTAGAAAAAACATGTGACAAAATTCAATACCAATTCTTGGTAAAAATTCGCAGTAAATTAGAAACAGAAGATAACTTTTCCAGTCTGATAAAAGACATTTATGGGGAGCCCACCGCTAAAATTATACCCAGTGGTGATCTTTATATATCACTGAAACGAAGGAAGGATTCGATTCTATTTAATATTTAATTGAAAAGCCATCTTTGCCAGTGTAATACAGCAAGAGGAAAGAATAAGAAAGGTATACGGATAAGAAAAAAGAAAAAATTTGTCTTCATTTACAAGTGACAAGATTTTTTACATAGAAAAACAAAGAAATCCAAAAATAATTATGTTAGCATTAATATGTGAAGTGAGCAAGGCTGCAAAACATAAAATGATTAGAAAACAAAAATTTAAAAATACCATATATGGTACCATAAAATAAAATAGTTAAGAATAAGTTTAATGGAAAAAACATGAGAGCTTTTTGCTGATATCTATAAAACATTGCAGAGAGAAAAATAAACATGACATAAATAAATGAAAAACTGTATCAGTGTTCTTGGATTGCAAGACTCGATATTGCTAAGATACTCATTCTCCTCAAATTCATCTATAGATTCAGTGCAATTCCAGTCAACTCTAGGAGGCTATTCTGCATGAATTAACAAACTGCTTCTAGCTTCTAAAATGTATATGAAAATGCAAAGGATCTAGAAAAACCAAAATAATCATGTAAAAGAAGAACAAATTTGGAAGCTTGACACCACTTTATTTCAAAGTTAATATAAAACTATGGTAATCAACTCAGTGTTGAAGTGGTATACTAATGGAACAAATCAGAGAGGACACACATGTATGGTCAATTGATTTTTGACAAAGGTGGCAAGATAATTGGAACAAATGAAGAATTGTTCCGAAGGATCTTCCCCCATGTAATTCAGTGGGTAAATGAACACTGGTGCTTGAGCCATCTATTTGTATGAAAAAATGAGCTCACATCCCTAAAATATACCACATACAAAAATTAATTTAACATGAATCATAGACCTAAAAGTAAAAGCCATAACTATAAAACTTCTGGAAGAAAACATAGGAGAATATCTTTGTGACCTTGAGGTAGACAAAGATTAGGCAGGACACAACAAATTCTAATCAGAATAAATGAAAAATTAAAATGAAAAACTGCTTTTCAAAAGACAATTATAAGAAATTGAAAAGGCAAACCACAGATTAGAATACTCACAATATGTATATACGATAGAAGATTTGGTTCCAGAATATATAAACTCCTATAATTCAATAAGGAAAAGATAAATAGCTCAAAAAAAAAGAGGATGAAACAGACTCTTCATAAAAGAAGATAGATATGAATAATCAATAAACACATGAACAATTATCTGCATCAATAGCCACCAGGGAAATGCAATTAAAACTACAGTGAGATACCAGTTCATATCCCCTAGAATAAGTAAAATTAAAAAGACCGATAAGACTAACTGGCCAGCATGTGAATCAGCTTGAACTCTCATGCATTGCTAGTGGGATCATAAAATGGCACAACTATTCTGAAAAACTGTTAGGCAAATTCTAATGAAATTAAACACCTACTAAGACCCAACAAACCCACTTCTAGATAGTTATTCAAGTTATTGATAAATACATTGTGATATGTTCATATAATGGAATACAAGTCAACAACATGAACAAGAATAAGAACTACAACAATAGCAACACAAAAAAGGAAAAAACCTTAGATACATGCAAGAAAATGAATGAATCTCAAAAGTGTACATACTGTATGATTCAGTTTATATGAAGTTCTAAGACTGGCAGAAGGAAGCTCTGGTGATAGAAATTAGATCATTGGTTGTTTGGAGTGGGAGTGAGGATTAGTTGCAAATAGGCATGAAAGACTTTCTGGGTGACAGAAATGTTCTATATCTTGATTATGGTGGTTACGCAGGAATACATTTGTCAAAACTCTTAAACCTAGCCATACATTTAAAATCTGTGCTTTTTATTGTATGCAAGTTATACTAAAAACATTATACTGAAATTATTCAAAAAAAGTCCCAATATTATTGGCCAGAGTGTTTGCTGATACCTTGAAGGGACGAAGCCCCTGCCTCACCTCCACACAGATTAATCATGTTCTCCTTGTGCTGGAGATAGTTGTAATGGGTAATTAGTTTCTTTCCTACCACAAAGCCCTTAAGTAATTGTAGATAAAGGAACACGTTTTCTATTCTTAAAAACAAACCAATAAAAATAGTATGCACACAAAGGTTTCCTTTAATAACCTGCTTAAGGGCAATTCTCTTACCATGACAGGGTTTTGGCTTCAAGTGTAACTCGAATCCATCATGCTGCATTGTACTGATTTTATTATTTTATTTTATTTATTTTTTTGAAAATTGGAGCTTTCCCAGGTCTGGACAAGAGTTTCTCCTTTGACAGCACAAAGCTGTCTTTCTTGGGTAGAGTTTTAGGTCTGGAGTTGTTTGTAATGATGCAGGCAGCCGCTGGCCCGGCCACCCCATGGTACTCTTTTGTGGCTTGCCCGGTGACATCGTCAAGATCCTTGAAGAAATTTGGTGGGATAGTCCTGGGGCCCATGACCCTGGTGTGCTACCAGGTGCCTTGAATACATCGATATTTTCTTTTCTTTCCATACAGGAAATGCTGAAGGATGAGGTGCGGACGCTCACTTACCGGAACTCCATGTACCACAACAAGCATGTGTTCAAAGATAAAGTGGTGCTGGACGTCGGGAGTGGTACTGGGATCCTTTCCATGTTTGCTGCGAAAGCAGGCGCCAAGAAGGTGTTTGGGGTGAGCATGCCGCTCCCTCCCTCACAGGGCTTCCGCAGAGCCAGTCCTGCCCTCGATCTTCTCTGGCCCTTTCTAGAAGTACAAACCCTAGTCCATCTCTTTGGGTGCTGAGGTCGCACCCTTAAGGAGAAAATCAAGTGTGACTCTCAGGAGACAGGGCAACCTCCCATGGCTTCCTGTCACCCAGGCACTGCTCCTTGCCCTGGGGACTGTTGACATTTGCAGAGGATTTTTGACTTTTCATAAACAATTTTAGTGTCATCATTACCTTAGTCCTCCTGTCGGTCTGAGAGGCAGTGCAGCATCGTTACGCATGTGTGCTCTGGTTTGAATCTCTGCTCTTCTACTTACGAGATGTGTAACCATGGGCAATTTCCTTCTCTGTACCTCAGTTTCCCCATCTATAAAATGGGCATGATAACAGCACCTTGCCCATGGGATGATTGTGAGAGATAAGCAAGTTTAATACATATGTAAAGTGCTTTGAACAGTACCTGACATATGACAAATGCTCAGTGTTTATTAGTATAGTTGGGATAGGGCCTCAGGAGATAATAAGAAAACTCTCTTCCTTTGTTCTTTAAAGGGAAAATTGGTAGACCTAAATTCTGCTGCTCTGGCCATTGCAGCCTCTCTGGCTAGAAGTGGAAGCTGACCCTCTGGAAAACCTCTCAGCCTGCCTCTGGCTCCCACAATGAAGCTATACACAGCCTGATGATGGCGGGCTGGGAGGGTCTGGAGCTGGGAAGAAATTGTGAAAAAGAGAGCTCTGAGCTACACGCTGACACTTGAAAAATGCAATGGGTCTAGGGCTGGAAAATGGGAATTAATCTTGATCAAAATTAAGGCACACTACAATCAAACTCACAGCATGTGCATGAGACAGCTAGCCCATTTGCAGAGGCCTATGAAGAGCTGGGCAGCTGTCAGTGAGGCTTCACTCTCTTTGCATTTACCTGCGTCAAGCTCTAGCCTGTCTTGAGAACCCCAAGCTCCCGAGTTGACTACGGCTCTCCAAATGCCCTTGGCCAGCCTTCACCTCAGAGGCCTGCCCCTAAGTCTCCAGCATGGACAACGTTCCTCGTCCATGCCTGACTCGGAAAGCGCTTGGGCCCTGGCTATAGAGGGTCTTCTAGAAAGCACACAGGTGTGCGCAAGGCACCTCTTGTGTAGCATTGATCAGAAAAACTACAATGTACTCAGCTGCAGCACATGTTGACAATATGGGGCCAATCCAGATGCCCAAGTTCAAGTCCTGTCATCATCATGGGTACTGCCCCTCCTCACCTTCCAGCTTTCCTTTATAAGACCCTCCTCACCAGGATGGAGGCCTGCTGTCCAGGGACATACTCCACTTCCAATGAACTCACAGAGCCTCAGAGCTGAACTTGAGACCACCCAGTGATCCCCATTGCCTTCTCTACCAGTGCTGTCTCTAAGGCCCCGTCTCATCTCCAGCCATGGCTGGACACATGGGTAGCCAAGCACTGAACAGACAGAGGCAGGGCCGCCTGTCATTGACTTCTAAGTCTGCGGGTGCTCCAGCCAAGGAGTTGTCAGGGGCCTCCCGCAGGGTGCCTTCCAGCTGTGGTGATTCGTCCCAATCTGTCTGCCTCCTGCTCTTTTGCTATAACAGCTCTTTTATAAACAGCTCCATCAGTTAGCTGGGCTTCTTTCTGGATGGGTCATTTCACAGTGACTCCTGTTCCAGGCTCCCCCTTCTACCCACCATTCTTTCTAGTGGGAGAGTCAAAACGGCAAGAGGGAGGGAGGAAAAGAGGGAGGGGGAGAGAGAGAGAGAGAGAGAGAGAGAGAGAGAGAGAGAATTGACAGAGGCAGCAAAGATAGTGAAACTGAGAGATAGACATGAAGAGAGAAATGGAGAGAAACAGAAAGATAGAAAGACTAAGAGAAAAGCTAGAGAAATGAAAGAGGGATCAGAAAGAGGAGAGAAAAAAAACTAGAAAGTACAAAAGAAAAAAAAGGGAAAATGAAGAGAGTAAAGAGAGAAGGGGGAGGGGAGAAAAGGCAGAAGGTAGAAGAAAGAAAAAGAAGAAGAATTATACTAATGCAGCCTCACGCATCCTGTGTGCTTTCAGAGGGCCTATCAATGCTCTGAGCTTTGGCTCATTTTTCCTCCCAATGACCACGTGAAACAGGAGTTGTGACTTGACTTATGAGGAAACTGAGGCAGAACTAGAAGGTGGCTGAGGCCAGATGTGAATTCAGGCTGTCTGGCTCCAGATCCCATGCTCCCCACTGCTAAACTCAGTACCCTCTTGCAAATAGGATGAAAATGTGGCAAGAAGAGGGAAAAAAGAGAAACACAGTCCTGGACGTGGTTCCACAGTGTAGCGGTTAGCACATCTGCTTTACATGCAAAAGGTCCTGGGTTCGCGCCCCAGTGAAGCCACGGTCCATGGTCTACGGCCATGCCACCCTGAACAAGCCCCATGTCTGATCTTGAAGCTAAGCAGGGTCGGGCCTGGTTAGTACCTGGATGAGAGACCACCTAGGAAATCCAGGTGCTGTAGGCATAAATAATAATAAAAAAAGAAAAAGAAACACCATCCTGCAGACAACAGGTTCAAAGGTTACTCTGGAAAAGGCCTGTCTTTAGGGTCTGAAAAAGAAAAAGAAACACCATCCTGCAGACAACAGGACAACAGGTTCAAAGGTTACTCTGGAAAGGGCCTGTCTTTAGGGTCTATCTCCTCTACCAGAATGACCCCTTCCTGACCCTGTAGGTGCCCTCACCTTCCTCAAGGCTTTGATGGAGGCTGTCAGCAACCCCCTCAGTACCCTATGCAAATGCCCAAGGCCCTAGGGGCAGTCTGAGGTGGGGCCTGAGTATGGAGGTGAAGGGAGCCCCAGGGCCTTAGTGCAAGCTGGCCTCTGTGGGGATCTACCTAAGGAGATCAGAACAGCTCTTGGCAGCTGCCCCTCTGTTCCCAGCACTCCCTGGCCCTCCCCAGCATGCCCAAGCCCTGCAAGCCCTCTAACCCCCAGACTGGGATTTGTTCTCCTGCTATTCTCATAAGGTCCTGCTAGCAGCTAATGGTCAACTAATCTCTCAAATACCTTGGCCCTTTACTCAGGAGATTTTCAAGCCTGAAAAGACTTTTAGATTTAAAACAAAACAAAACAAAACAAACCAATTCTTTCAAAGGTGTAGACTGCAGAAGAGGTGAGAGTCAACTTGTGTGTGTGTGTGTTGGGGGAGGGATCTTAAGACTGGCCCTGAGGCTCTGACTTGGCTTTATGCAGATGGTCCTTATTTTAGAATGTTCCCAGTCTTATCAGTGACAGCTGGAGGGGGTAGGGTGGGTAGATAATGTTGAGGGAGGGTCCCGGGAACTCTGGTCAGGCCTACATCCTATCCCGAGAAGACAGTGGCCATGCTGCCTCATGCCATGCTCTCCTGGTCAGAAGATGAGGCCTGTCAGGTCCTTCCAAGTCTCTCAACTTGAGCACCAGGCCCTCCAGCGAAAAGCACAGGATGGGTTTCGGTCTCACAGCAAAGGCAGCCTGATATAGTGGGAGAGCTACTGGCCTGCAAATCGGGAGGGCTGGGCTGTAGCTTTTAATCTGCCACAAATTATCAGTGTTGACTGTGGGTAGGTTACTGTACCCCTCTAGGCCTCAGCTTCTCCATCTGCTAAATTACTGTTGGATATTTTTTTTTGACACTTTGCCCCTTTATTCTATGCCCTTTCTAGATTGAATGCTCCAGTATTTCTGACTACTCAGAGAAGATCATTAAGGCCAACCACTTGGACAACAGTAAGACATACCTCCGCTTGTTTTCCCATGGATGGAGCGGGTGAGGGGGTCTTGTATTTTCTTGTTTGGGTCTCATAGACTGCCATAAGAGGGAGAAGAACAGAACACTTGGCCTTGAGGATGTGGAGCCCAGCTGAGGCCCTGTTAGCAGAATTGTGTTCATGGAGTTCTGAGGTTCCCAATCCTTGCCATGTCAACCAAAGGCACATTTGTCCCAGCCCAAATTCCTATGAGCCCAGCCTGTGGCTAAATCCTTAGTCATCGTGCCCTCTGCTTGACTTTGGCTATAGACAATCTATTGAGTTTTGCAAATTGGCAGCTATTTCTCCTTCTCCACAATCCTCAGCCCTACATCTCCCTATCATCTACCTGGTGGCATCCTAGGAGACCCAGGCTCTGCCTTTGAAGAAGTGTGGTCCTCTACTACCCACAGGCCCCACTGCTAATAAGGCTGTCTTAGCAACTGAGTTGCCCTTGAGAGCAGGACTTGCTTCAAGCTGGAGTCTGACTATAAAAGTGTATTCCCTTCTCTTCCTCTTCTTACTTCTTCCCTATGCATTGCAACATTCCCCAGGCCCTTCCCTCTGGAACCCACCTTGAACAGACTCATGCCCACAAAAGACCTCTTCGTATCTTTTATGAGTTATTAGGATGAGATTTAATCCCCAGGTCCTGTGTTGAGTGGGGCCAGATTATGTAGGGTTTGTAACCTAGGAAAATAAGTTTCTAAGGATGATGGAGGCCTTTTGGAGAATTTAAACAAGAAAAAAGCATGAAAAATTGATTGTAATGGGTTGTAGGCATCAAGAGTATAGGCAGAGACACATTAAGAAGTAATTTGAGTGCTCCTGGGAGAGCTGCTGTGGCTTGGACCGGGGTGGTGGCAGTGGAGGTGGAAAGAGGTGACCACTTGGACTAAGTTTGGAAATAGAGGCAAAAAGATCTGCTAATGGACCATATATGAGAATGGAAAAAAGATAAGAACAAAGTCTAACTTTTTTTTTGTTGTTGCCTTGAGTTACTGGGTGGATGGTGGAAGACAAGGTAGAGCACTTACAGGGATGACAGGAGGGAAAAAGAAGTCAAGAGTTCTCAATTGCACATGTCAGGTTTGAGGTGCCCATTGGGCATCTAAGTGCACATGTTGAGTAAGACTTGGCTATATTAGTCTAGAGTTCCAAGGAGAGTCAGAGCATGGGATATATGCTTGGAAATCTTCAGCATACAGATGTTATTTAAAGTCACTGGATGAGGTCTCTTGGGGATAAAGCATAGCTAGAAGAAAGAAATGGGCCAACAATAGGGCACTAGGGCATTTCAACCTTTGGAGGTCAAGCAAAGGAGACGGGGCCAGCAGAGAGGCAGAAAAGTTACATTCAATGAGGTTGGTAGACATTCAGGAGAGATGAGTACTAGGAAGCCAAAGGAAGGAGGAAGTGGTCAACTCTAGGGAATGCTGAGAGATCAAGTAAGATGGGAACAGAGGAGTGGCCATCGAATTTGGCCACATGGAAGTTATTGGTGCTCTTAACAAGAATAGACTGAATGTAGAGGTGGGGACCGAATTCCAGTTAGAGCGGGTTAGGGAGAGACTGTGAAGTGAGGACTGTAAACAAGTCTTCTTGCTATAATGGGGGACATAAAAATGGGACAGTAGCTATGGGGGAAGTGGGGTCAAGGAACTGCGTTTTTTGTTTTTTGTTTTTTTTTTTTAAGAATAGGAGATGTGAAAACGTGTATGATTCAGTGGTCCAGTAGAGAATAAGAGCAAAATTATAGATACAGGGAAAAGTAAATTCAGTAGCAAGAACTGTGAGAAAGTAAGAGGGCCTGGGGTGCAAAGCACAGATGGAAGGTTGGATTTTACTTGATGTAGGGAGAGTTTAACCACAGTAACAGAGGCAAAGTGGGGAGTGTGGGTCCAGAGGGAGGTGGATTGGTGGTGAGAAGCCCCTGCTTCCGTTTTCTCAATGAAGAATGAGACAGTCATTGATGGAAAAGACCAAGAAGGGAGGGATGTATTTTGGAGGGAGATGAGAAGGAAGGGAATGGTCTTTTATTGGGGGAAAGAAGGGAAGCAAACACTCTGGGCTAGTGGAGTGATGTATTTTGGAGGGAGGGATGTATTTTGGAGGGAGATGGCTGGGGGGGTGATCAGCACCTGTTAGTGGTGTGTGGACATAGATGAACACTGTTGTCAGTTCTCCCTGTGTCTAATTTTTCTCTTACTGTGCTCAGCAGCTTGGGTGTGATTAGAGAGGAAGGATGACTGGGTTGGGGCTTTGCTGAGAGGACACAACAGATGGAGGGAGGAGCCAGAGCTGTGATAATAACGTACCATGGAATCTGAGCTGGATGTGGAAGGAAGTGAACAGTGGAGGGAGTGGAGGTGAATGAGTGAAAGTGAAGAAGGCTAGGGGTAATGGGTAAGCAACAACCTTGGGGGCCATGTGCAATGCCAAGACCCAGAGGCTCTTTCAGCCGGAATCGGGGAATGCTGCTCAGATACTCCCGACCTCTGGCTTGGCATTCAGCCTCTCTTGGTTCACTCAGGAGGCCAGATCTCTTCTATACTTGACCAGGGCAGAAGGGATAGAGAAATGACTTCTCTATTCAACTACTAAAGATGGAAAAAGAAAACAGTCAGTTCTTCCTCTACAAGAGAGACAGTCTGCCATCCATGCGTTTTCTCTCACCTCCCTTTTATTAGCTCTCTGAAATGGGACAAGTGGTTCTTCCATTTAACAGATGCAGAAACCGAGGATAGGAGATGTAGGGCAGTGTTTATGTTGATGTAGAAGCTCAATGAGTGCCTGCCAATTCTGAAAATGAAAATGTAAACCTTTAGAGGGGAGGGTGGGTGCACATAGATGGAAAATCAGATTTCCTCTCGAGGTTATTGAATCTCAGCCCTGGGCCCTATGAAGCTCTCAAAGGACATTTTGACCACCTCCTGCTTCTGCACAGATTTCCCTTGCACAGTAATTCCTGCCCTCAGAGGGTGCCCAGCCCCTTACTCTTCCTCTGCCTCTAAGGTTGCTGGCTCTTGGGGCCTGGAACTGCAGCTCCCTGGGCTCATCTTCCCACTCTGGCTTGCAGAGGGCTACTGCCTTGTGCTGTTGGCAGCAGAGTGTGGGGGTGGGCCCAGAATGGGAGGAGCTAACAGCAGCTGAGAGGTCTCTGACTTTCAGGAGGAGGGCAGTTTGGCTCTGAACACTTGCCAGGAAAAATTGCACAATTCCTAATTACCCCTTCTGGTTCACATCTCATGGCTCCTCCTCACTTCCTCTGCTTCAGACTCTTGTAACTTTTAAAATTCCCTTTCTCTTCCTTTGCTTTTCTTTCTTTTAACCTTTGAAACATTCCATTTTACAAAAAAGGTGCGAATATAGCCGGGGTTTTTTTTTTTTTTTTTTGAGCCATTTGAGAGTAAGTTGTTGACATGATGCTTGTCATCCCTGAATACATTAACGTATGTTTCCAACAAGCAAGGGCACTGTCCTATACAGCCACATGGCAGCCATCGAAATCAGGAGGCTAACATGAATACATTGTCATTATCTAGTGCTCAGATCCTAGTCATGTTTTGCCAGTTGCAATCACATCCTTCATAGCAGAAGGATTCAGTTCTAGATCACACGTTGCATTTAGTCGTCATGTCTCTTGTTTCCTCAGCTTTTGTGGCCTTTGACGCTTGAAGATCACAGGCCAGTGTTCCTTGGATGTCCCCCAGTTCGGGTTGTGTGACTCTTCCTCACAACTGAGTTCAGGTGACTTGCCCTGCAGATATACCACAGATGCACACTGTGTTCTCATGGCTTAGTAGTAGGTGGCATGCAGTTTTGATTTGTCCCATTTCTGACAGCATTTACTTCACTCACGTGGTTCAGGCGACGTCTGCTAGGCTCCTCCACAGTAAAGTTGCTCTTTTCCCATTTATAATTAGTAAGATTCTCTGGGACAGGTACTTCGAAATGATGTAAGTATTTCATTCCTCCTCATTAATTTCCCATTTTATTCAATAGGTTATATCTGTTATTATCTGTACTTACTTTGATACTCAAATTGCCCCTGATTTGGTCACTGGAAGCATCTTCAGACCTTTTGATATCTCCTTCACTTTTTGTGAGCTTTCTTATTTTTGGCACAAATGTTTCAGGTTTGTCTTGTACTTTCCAGGCCTCTCTTTTAGCATTAGCCATTTCTCCAGCAAAACTTGCTTCCACTTATGGACAATGGCATTTAGAGATGAGGATCAGGGCTAGGCATGCTCATTTATTTTAGGATGCTAATGGTCCCAGTCTGTCTCAGTGGAAAAAACTAGAGAATGTGGGTGTGTATGCGTGTGTGTACATACACACTTACATAACATGTATTTCTACATCTGTCTATACATATTTGTTAAGTATCAGTTCACGTGACACCTCCACTTCTAATCCAACACCACAGTGTTTACTCTAGCTTTATCTCCCTCTCCATATTTATGACTCCTTCCTCTGATGGTGAAAAATCTGGCTCTTGTTATTCTAAATATGTTTACTTATTGGATCAATCCCTTTGTGTGTCAACAATTTTCCATTATCAGCATCTCCTGCCTCATGCAGACACTTCTATCACCCAGTGCTGGGCTCTGATGCCCTATGCCAGGCAGTGTCCTGCAAAGGTACCCTTCCCTCCTTGCTCAGGCTCCAGCTGGCAGAGGCACCTCCTGGGTCCCCAGACTTCACCCTCAAACACCACGGATGCTCTGCTTACCTTCTCCAGCTCTGACATACTGTGCTGGGCTGCCCTTACCCACTCAAGCCTCAATGGGACTGTTGTGGTATCCACACCCCACCCCTCCTTGGGCCCAACCCACCTGATGGCTTTCAGATGGAATTGTTCCATGCTCTGTATGTTGATGGTTCAGATTTGATTACTGAGGTAAAGTCCCAAGAAAGACAAACCATTGCCCCCAAGTGAATAGCCACCCCTGAGCCTCATACTGGTTCTTGTTCCTC